ATGGATGGATGGATGGATGGATGGATGGATGGATGGATGGATGGATGGATGGATGGATGGATGGATGGATGGATGGATGGATGGATGGATGGATGGATGGATGGATGGATGGATGGATGGATGGATGAATTGAATTGAATGTCTCCTGTGTTTTTGTCCATGTCTCTGTCTCCAGACCATACATAGCTGGTCTCACCACTGTCTTGTAAACTTTTCCTTTGACCTTTGCTGACACCCTTTTGTCACAAATCACTCCTGAAACTTTTCTCCATCCACTCCATCCTGCCTGGATTCCCTTCTTCACCTTTTTACCACACTTCCCATTTTCCTGGACAGTGGACCTCAAGTACTTGAAGTCCTGCACCTTGGTGACCTCTGCTTCTTGTAGCCTCACTGTTCCACCGGCCTCCCTCTCATTCACACACATGTACTCTGTCTTACTACGGCTGACCATTTCTCTTTTTTCAAGTGCATACCTCCACCTCTCCAAGTTCTCTTCCACCTGTTCCCTGTTCTCACCACAGATCACAATGTCATTTGCAAACATCATAGTCCACAGGGATTCCTGCCTGACCTCATCTGTTAGTCGGTCCATCACCAGACCAAAAAAGAAGGGGCTCAGAGCTGATCCTTGATGCACTCCCACCTCCACCTTGAAGCTATCTGTCACTCCTACAGCACATCTCACCATTGTCCTGCTGTCCTCATACATGTCTTGTACCAGTCTAACATACTTTTCTGCCATTCCAGATTTCCTCATGCAATTCCACACCTCCTCCCTCGGCACCCTGTCATATTCTTTTTCTAAATCCACAAAGACACAATGGAGTTCTTTCTGACCCTCTCTGTACTTCTCCATCAGCATCCTCAAAGTAAAGATGGCGTCTGTGGTGCTCTTTCTCTGCATGAAACCATACTGCTGCTCCCAGATAGTCACCTCTCATCTAACATTCATACACATTAAATGATTTAGAGTTTATTCTGTTTGTTCATGTTAGGTTTAGGTATAACTACTCTCCAAGTTAGAAATGACAAAATAAATAGGTTAATTTTTTTAATGGATTAAAATAAAACAGTGGAGAAGGTGAACAATACACAAAGCTACATGTTTTACATTTTTACAAATTCCAGAACTCACTCAGCTAACTTTCCATTAAAACATTTTTTATTATTTCTTGTGACAATTATCACTTTGTTCAAAACCAAAGAAGCTCAGAAAATATTAGACTACTTAAGATTTTCCAGAATTAAAATCAATGTCCAGATTGCTCTTTTGTAAGTTTTAATTTGAAAACTTAAAACACTAGTTTACCCTTGTTGCTAAGAAAGTCCAAATTATTGACATTTTGACTTTAATCACAAAGCAAATAGATTTGTTTTGTTTGTTTCCATGAACTAATTAGTCAGCAAACTGCAAGTTTCTTTAGAAACGCATGCAGATAAGTTGGATGTGTCATCTCTGGCTGTAAATATTATAAAGCCTTTAAACAGGAATATGTATCCTTCATTTTATTCTTGATGACTGCTGTTGCTCTTTCAGGACCTGCAGAGTCTCTGCAGCTGATAAATCTTCCCTGCAAGTTTCAAATGAAATGTGGAGATGGTCAGACCTGATATGAATGCATTGTTTGTAAGAGACATCATGTCTGCATGGCTCAAGGAAGGAACTCATGTTCGTAAGAAATTAGATTTAAAAAAGGCAGCAGCTAAAAACAAGTCATACAATAACTGATCAAAACTCAGATTGCACTTAGGCTGCAGATCTCTATGGAAACACACGCATTTGGGATGCACGATATTATCGGCATTGTATCGGTATCGGACGATATTAACGATAAAATTAAATATCGGACATCGGTCATTCTGTCAACATAACTCACCAATATAAAAGGCGCTATTCACAT